AAGATTTCTAAAAAGATGTTGGTAGTTGCTTTATAATAGGAGGAATCTAATTTTAAACTTGTTTTTCACCTTAATTTTATAATTGTTTAACCTTTCACAACGTTCTGAATTCTATGAAAATCGCTTTTGTAAGTAGTGTTATTTAAAAATAAATTATAGGGTGGCAACCGGAGATTCCAGGAAAACGACGAAAATTACTTATAGGTATATTTTGATGAGAATTACATATTAAAACTTAGAACCTAAGACTACATGATTGCCCCGATGTTAGGAAAGCAATGACATTCCATTGCTTGAGTGGTATCAGGAATCTTCTGGTACACACGGCTTGGTGTTCGTTCTGCGGAGTGAGCGGCGTCACTCGTTATATGATATTTTATCCATACAAGGATGTAGCCCCGGCGATGTTCATTTATTTCTTAATTTATAGTGCGTACGTAAGATTACAGTAACAGTCAAAATAAAACAAAAATTAAGGGTTAACAAATAAAATCGTATGTTTTTCAAATTTACTAAATTATATTTATGTTTGATTTATTATATCTACGACAATAATTCCGTATATATGGATATATATTTTTAAAAAATAATACGTCAAAATTATAAACCAGTTTCTAAACTGGTTTATAATTTTGACTTCTTAGTATTAAATAAATCTGCTAATATAAATATATGTATAATTAGTTAAAAGAATCTTTTATTTAAAGTTATATTAATTAATATATTTCAACTAAATGTAACATAATATACAGAAATCTTATTCTATTTATTATTTGAGTTTAGATTATAATTACAACGACGGTTGTGAGAACAACTTAGCTTGTACTGAAAGCCTTAATTACTAAGCTAAGCCTCGCTACACCTTTACACATATTGTTAACGTAACAGAAATGGCACTGCTTCTATTGCAAATATATTCACTCCGTTTATGGCTATAATTGTAATTCAATATTATTATAGAAGAATTTTAATATTAAAAAAATCTTATAATAAAACAGAGAGTGTTTAATTTAAACGTTGAATAACACTTCATATTCAACAAATTAACTAAATCAGTTCGAAAATTAAATATATCAACAACATCTCGTTTTTGCACACATGAATGAAGAGCAATCAACCAGAAAACATCCAAACGGTTTGATTATGGTCACACTATTATTTCGGTTGTTACGTATGTATATGACATATTATTGAGGTATGAAATAAAATAATGTAATCAGTAAATCAGTAATTAACTCGAATTTTCTATTAACATTACTCATATAATTGACGCATAAATAAAGGAAATAAATCATAAAGAAATGTTAGGTATATTATCATTGTGAGCATTTACACAAACAGGCAAGAAATAAACAGTAATAAAAAAAATCTCTGTAACAAAACTTTTATATTGATTAGACAAAATTTCGAAAGTTATAATGAATAATAAAACATTGTAACTTTATACAGCTTATTTCTTACGTAATATATTTAATATAATAATTCTATTTGTACCTAAAACCGGCCCTAAATATTTACTATCGTCTGTAACTTTATTACTAAGATAATATTAGGTAGATATAGATCACGTAATATAGATATATTTATATACATAGGTTTATGTATGTACTAGTTTTAATTATTATTCATTGACATATTTTAATATCTTTAACGAAGTCTAATATAATTTCTTGCTTAGTATTTAGATAGGCTGACATTTTTGTTATTAGAATGTATATTTAAATTCTGTGATAGTTTCAATTTAAAATTTATAGCAAATATTGATATTCGATTTTTTAAAGTGTAGCTTGAATAGTTGAAAAGAAAGTCCAACAGAAATATCACAAATATATATCAGTCTAAATATTTATTGAAATGGAAAGTAGTTGTTTCTTTTATTATTTTTAAACGAAAAATATATATCTTTCATACTTCAAGTGCAACTGAAGTTTTTTATAAAAAAATCTCTCTTTAACTTTTACAGGTACTTTAAAATTTAAATGAACTGTCAACGCTCTTCAAACATTTGGTGATACGAGCTGGAACCAACTGCGACAAAAACTGAGTGTGAACCTTAAATGAACTTTACGAAGCAAAATATTTAAGTTGGTATTCAATTGAGCTGTTATAAACAACGAAAACATAATGCTTCTAGACTTACTTTCTGATTTCTTTATATCTTGACTTTTATTTTATAAAATATATAAATCTTTTTCATTATTTCCTGGTATTAATCTTCGATATTTTATTTCAAAATATAATTCGAATAACTTTGTAAGGTGTGACAAAGAGTTGAAATAGATTTTCCGGCTTGTCGGCTTCCTGCAATATCTCTCATGAGATATTTGTAGGAAATCGACAGACAAAAGGGACATCCTTAATTATATACGTGGCATCCTGACAACGGATATGTTGGCGGGATTGTTTGTATCGATCACATTACTGTTATAAATACAGAATTGGGAATGTTTATTCTCATATAAGACGTATAGAACTAATTAGGATTATTTTATACAAAGCTGCTTAACATGTTAATGAATAAATAGTCTTCTTTTTATCCCATAATCACATAGGCGTTAATTTGAAGAGTAGTCGAAATGTAACCTTATATATAAATAAATTCTTAAAATAATATCAATAAATATATTACAATAACTTAACTGAATTCTAATTTTCAATCAAATATATTTTTTTCTTATTTTAAATAAAGTTGGAACATTTTACAATGTCGCCCATTCACGCACTACTTGAAAGTGAACTTATCTGAAATAACTAAAGGAGCCTGCATCAACGAGATAGTGGAACAAAAAGCAAATGATCCGTTAAAGTGGTACAGTCGCCTCATTTACAATGTCTGGCAAATACATAAAACACCAGACTCCGCTTGCTTCTGTGCTATTTGATTTAAAGTAAAGATTTTGTCTAAGATACTAATATTGTTGCAAAAACAGCGATCCATTGTGAGACAGCGTCTATGAGTTTTAGTAAAAAAAAAGGTTTGATAATTCTGAAATAATGATACAAATTGACAATATTATACATACTTTTCTTACGAAAAATATAATTATATACATAGAATAAACGGAATTCAGTAAATATACGTAATGTAAAAAAATATGAAAATTGGTTTTTAAGCTACACATTAGAAAAGATTTCAAGTTTTTCTTTACTAATATAGTATGTAGGTTGAATCTTAATAATTTTATCATTCAGTGATACTTTAAGTAAGAAAAAGAGGTAAACTTATTTGAAATGTAACGTCTAACATATTATTTTAGTTAGAAATTAAACTCTTGTTAATTAAAATACACCTGAATGTTCATTTATATTATGTATATGACATTTATAACTTCAGAGTATATTATTTTATAAAACTTATTTCCCTCGTAAAAAGGTAGACAAAAATATAAAGTTACTTTTCATTCTATAACATTAGTTTACATTACAAATAGATATACGCTGCTCTCCCTAAATAAATTGAGAATTATTTGTCCATTACACATGACACATTTTATGTTTTTATTTATTTTAACAAATTAAACTTTTAAAGTGAGTTTCATTCAATAAATCTTTATGATTTTTAAATTAAGTATATCGTGTAGAGTAGCATATGTACATTTTTTTACAAAAACTATACTTATATTTCATTTCATAACTCATAAAATATATACACATTATACAAATACATAAAGTCTTACAATTCATTTATCTTTTAACAAAAATATTTCATTCTTTTTCGAAATTATCAACAAAATAGAGAAGTTTATTTCACGTTTAATATATTATAATAATCTACATCAGCTTTGACTGTCACTGTAGTTGAAGTAATCAATCTCTAAGGATTTGATAATTACCATCGAACGTATGTGAACTCCGTAATCACCAAGTAATTGATCCATATATTATATCCATAAAATATAATAATACCTTATACTTCATTGCAGTGTCTTATAAAATATTAATTGTATTTTATGAAATATTTATAGAAGTTATACGTTCTCTTTTTATTAAAATTCAAAATATTAAATGATTTTGTTTCATAATTCAAACACCATAGACCATTTGGATAGAATAAAACTACTTATAAATTAATAATAGGTAATAAATGTACTAACTAAAATGCAACAAACGTTTATAATAGGTATATTATAAATGAGATCTTTTCCAGATTCATGTATCATGTTATCAAATCAATAATTAATTATCACCAATAAGATTTTCAAGCTGTCTAAGAAATCCCATTCTAAATATCTAAACTTAGGAATAGAGTCTTGATATATTGTGACAAGTCTTGTAAGCTCTATGGAGTAAAGGCTATAGATGTAAGTCTAAGTATCCGAGTATCTAAGCATGATCTTTGTTCCATTTTAAAATAGCTTCTAAATATGGTTAAAGATCTATAAAATGTATGTAAAGGAGGCTGTTAATTTCCTAGAATAGAAATTTAACAATTTTATACCGTGCGGTACAATTGTGCATAGAAATTATTTTTTACGAGAATACCATCACAACAGTTTTAATAATAATGTTATAAGAAAACACAAACATAAAATTTATATATAAATATATTATAGCATAGGAAATAGTTTATTTTATTTTACTTAATAAATAAAAGTTATAAATTTGATATTAATTGGTATTTGATGGCGTATAATCTTACGCTTTATGTTTATGATTGAATAGTAATCTGTAATTTTTACATTTAATAAAAGAAAACGAAACAGATAACATTTATTTTAATTCACAATTAATTCTTCATAATGATCATTTAATAAAATATTTAAATCTTGTTCTTAAAACATTAAAATAATATCAAACACATAAGAAACTTAACTACTTAATTTTATTCTTGTAAGCCTCGTCTCACTCTTTTCACTTTATTGATTTACAACTTGAATAAAGAATGTTTTGTAAAAAAAACACATATCACTTTTTAAATTATAAATTATACAATGCAATAGCAACGTTAATAATAAACTCTCAAAACATTACAAAAAACTTTTAATCTATCTTGGTACTTTTTAATTCTGTAGTAGCTTGTCTATGTTTTCAAATTCTTTTGCTTCAATATCTTCTTTTAATCGATCATTCTCAACTTTCTCTATATATTCCAATCTTTGTACTGGATCATGTACATTTGTAATGAATTCTTTATTCGATAAATCATCAACTTCATCATCGTATAACGTTGCATTATCTACTTCAACAATCTCAGCACCGATAAGCCGTTCCCTTAGGAAGTTATTACCAAAATTCTCAAATATCACTTGATCATTCTCAATATCATCACCACAACATCTATGAAAGAAGAGATGTATCACAGGACGTCGGTATATACAACTGAGTACCACCATGAGAACTATGGTTACTAAAACACAAAATGTGAAAAAACGACACCACATTTTGTGTCATCTAACTTCTTCAGACAACATTTTGTGTAAATTATTTTGCAGCGACGTGTAGGCTCGCCTTAATCCCACTTCACACTAACGTATAAAGTATCTCATAAAAACCAATCAAGTTCGATTATAACACTATTGTTTTAGTGACCGTTGTAACGCAAACCTGCGCAAATATCTAACAGTTATATTTCAAGGTAAATTTGTTGCAACGTCAGAAAAATATAAATATTTCAAGAAAATGGTTTTATAAATATTTTTAGTATTTTTAAATTTCTAAGCCATGTTCAGTTTATTAAGAAAAAAAATTAAGCAAATTAACTTGTTTGTGATAAATTATTTTTTTAATAAAATCGTTTTTTTTTTTAAATGATTGACACCAATGATGTTTTACGATACGGTACGGAATAATGTCTGTTTTTGATGTTAAATTTACTTAGTTGCCGCAAGTCTACGCTGCATTTATTACTTGCCTTTATAATTTGTATGCAGATGCGTTCTGTACTTCACCAAGATGTTTGTCCCCTATATTAAACACGACCATAGAATATAAATAATTCTGAGTCAAATCGAACCCATCGTGGTCAAAGTCACGTACTCGCTGTTGAAGTGTTCCGAAGTTTCCAGGAAGGAACGAAGGTCTATGGAAATGTAAATTTGATAAATTAGGTTTATTGAATAAGATAATTTTATATGTTAACTTATTCTGATAAATTTATTTAAAGATTGAAAAAGAAATAATAAACAAGTGCTACATCAAACGATATTAAAGAATATTATTATTAAAGAATTTATAAAAATAAAAACACGTCTTTGACAATAACAAGATTATATAAAAAACAATAATAATTTATGTGAAGTTATTTATATGAATAATAAATTAATATTAATTAAATAGGGTTTTATGTCGTTGCTGCAAATTACTTTAACCGATATCTTTAGTATGGGCTACTAAATACCAACACTATTCAATTTAAGAATTAAAATTATCAACTATATTCATATTTCTATATTTAATATAGCACAAAAATACATCTCAAAATCATAGTAAATTAATTCTAAAAATTATATGAATGTTATAAAACCTTAGGAAAAAAAATATTATAAAAATTCATTTTAATATTTTCTTAACTTTCCAATTATTCTTTAACCGTGTTGTTAACACCGATCAGCATTTGTTTAAAATACTCTTAATTGTGTGTAAACAACCGTTTTGCCGATTAAGAGATAGAGGTTACTACAATGATAGTATAATTTTAGCTTAAAACTGTGATAATCCTGATATATTTTGTTCAATTTATAACTAGATTTAAACATGTTATCAAATTCAAATTGAAATTCTATATCATCAAATCCATTGTGTGAGGATTCAATAATTAAACAAACATGTAAATATGACACATTTCATTGAATAAATGTTAATAAATAGTCTGAAATTTAATACGAGACATTCTAACGTATAACAGCTATGTGTTTTAAAATTAAAATATTCTTAACACGTGACTAACTTGCGATTGAATTCATAATGAAAATAGAACAATATATAATAAAGTCCTCCTTCATCAGGGCTGCATAACAGTTATTTGTTGACGTCATCATACAAATTAATTTCCTTGATGCGACTTCTCAGTAATGATTTACAGTAAATCACCGCTATGAATACATTAACCGCCTTACACTGAACTAGGTCAAGTTTACCATAGGGTATTTTAATTAAAATTATATGCAAACGCTTTTGTTTTTATTCCCTATTGGCCTTGGATAAAGTTGGAAATTCTATCCAGTTTTTTTATTAAGTAACAAATAAATAGATTAAATAAATTCGACTTCATAATGCTAATTGTATTAATATATAATTCTTTTGATTTTCAAAAGTACCAACCATATACATACATTAATACTACGAAGTAATCTATAAAAGATTTTTCTAATGAATATGTTTATTTAAACAAAATTTTACTAGCAAAAGTATTATGTGCATCCTTATCATATGTTTTTATATAATAAACATATTTATATAGTACTTCCAACTCTTTGATAGAAACTTTACAAATTTTTTGCTAACATATAAGCATCAGTTCTATGCCTGTATTATATAATATACTCACTCTGGTGAGCTTTAAATGCTGTAGATAATGATAAGTATATAAATGACTGTAAACTTTAGTTTGCATTAAATATTGTAATCTACAATGTATATGTATGTGCTGTATTCTGTCATTATTGTTCTGGTACTCAGTAATCGATTATGTAAATATATTATTGTATTGTTTATTGTTATGTTACAAGTTGTCATTGGTATGCGAAGGCTAAGTTTATGTTTTGAATTCATCTTTGAATAGTCTGGAGCATTCAAGCCTGGATAGAGAGGATAAATTAAATATTCATTTTAATTTTAGAATGTCATTAATTCTATTAAAAGTAACGAATATGCATAAGTAAGACTTGTGGAAATTATCATGTTCGTTTAGACTTTAGACTTATTTAAATAAAGTGAGAAATTAGTCAGGTTGTTTTTTTAAATTTTTCTTCGTACTATCTATACATATATGTCATGGTGGTATCGAAAATCTATTTCATCCTTATATGTTTCGACACTGAATTATTGCAATGGTATATTAAAATATTTATATTAAAAGGGTCTGGAAGAATAAACTTCACTTTGATTAAGGTAACTACAAGGTCTTGATAATCTATAAGCACAATTATGAGCAAGCAATACATAATAATAAAGTCGTTATAAAGTTTGAAAACAAGCGAAACTTGTTCAACAATTCATGGCTAGTTTTATCAAATAAAACTAAGTATATCAAGTGTACGTAATATAAACACATCTACATTCACAAATATGTTTACGATTGCTCATATATTGGTCCACTAGAAAAATTATGAATGGAAAAATGAAATCAATGCATTGTTTAGTAATGACGTTTCAAACTATTATTTTTTAATAAATAGGAATTCAATTAAGAAAAGTATGTAAAAGTATGTAGAAGTTATGCAAAAAGTTTCTTCCACAAAAATAGTCTCATTATAATTAATAATCGAATAGTTGTAAATGAATTTCTTAAGAAATCTGGACAATTCTCTATAATAAGTCTGGTTGTAATTTAAAAGTGTATGATATTATCATGTCACAACCTGCACGCTCTGAGGTTTCATATTCCATTTTCAAGCTATAAAAAATATTGTTTCATATCCCCTAACCAATTCCCTAGAAAGAACGCTTTTATCAAATTAGCAGTCTTTTCAGCCTAAACGATAAAAGACAAAGAAAACAAAATGGGACATACGCTGTCGCAAAGACGTTCTCGTTTTTTAAAAGAGATTTGCCAGAACGCTTTTGTTCATAGCGCTTTCAGAACTTCAACAAACGCTTTCACCTTACTTATGCGTTGTTTTGTTTTTTATTGTGTTTTTTTTTTCAATGAATTCATGAAATTGTTTTAAATTTATGCAATTAAATGTTCGAAAAAATATTTAATCCGTAATCAGCAGTTAATCGAACTGCTATTTCAATACAAACATTGCGTTCTCCTTTTTAGTCGATCCAGATTTTGGAAATTGACGAAAAATATTTACCAATAAAAGAAGATTTGTAGAATATAAAATATAAGAAAAACGATTAAATTAAATAAATTTTGTAACTATTGAAAGAGAGGAGGTTACATGACCAATTTTCATCTTGAACGTAAACTTAGTTGATTCCTTAAAATATTTTTTTTTACTAAAAACTTTAATATTCCTCATATTGACACTTTTATCGTGTGATTTGTAATATATGTAAAATTTTAAATTTTATTTCATTATAATTTTTATTGAAACGACTTGATTTTTATCTGTGAGTTTTCCAAAGTTTGAAGAATTTGCAATCATTCTTGTTATTATCCAAAACCCAGGAAATTAATTTTATATGAGTAACTTTTTTGGTTTCCTAGAACATTGTAACTAATATAAGTTTTTTCAATTTATTTACGTTTTAAAGCAGCAATTCCCTGTATTGACTGTTAAAATATTCACGAATTAGTATTGTTTGTTATCATAGTGTTAAAAATGTTAGGGTGCGTAAAATTATTCAATTTTATTCAACCTTTTTGGTTTTTTTTATTACTATGTCATCCAGGTCTTCTACTTTCAGATTCCCTATACCTAACCTTTTGCTAATAAAGAATAAACAGTACGGTTAAGCGAATCTCGTAGTGTTCCAGGGTTGGAACAATTTGATTTTTTTACATGTAGACAGACATTTATTTTTAAAATTGCGTTTTGATGTCTCATGTAATTATTACTGAGCTTTTTAAACTATATGACCCTTTTTAAATGTTCAATGGTTTCATATGTTCATCTATAAAGAACAAAAATAATATGACTGTAGCGTTGAGTTAAAGATTGTAGTTTGTAAATTAGTATTTCTCATTCTATAACCCCTCGCCTGCCTGTTTTTAATTCTTTACAGCTTCAAAATTCCTTAAATAATGAAATTCGTTGTGTGATGATTCTTAATTTTATATTGTCAACGATATGTTGTGACATAGCACTGAGAGCTATCAATAAATATTATTTAAATAAATGTCATCAAAGTTTTTCACGCTATCTCCGGCAGAATTGAAAATGTATGTCATGTAATTGTTTGCCTAATTTTGGTTGACCCTAATTACTTTTTAAGAATAATTCTTGACCTCTCATTATTAAACATTTAGGCTTTTTAAATAATAATAATTTCAGAACACATTTTCCTTTCGCACACTTCTTAGGTATTTCAGAAATAATACTATCAATATCGTAATATCTTGCAGTGGTCATTACCACATACGTCTTCAACAAGTCTTTATTTTCAAATCATTTAAAAGATTTTAGCAACCTATATTTAAAAAATCCTTTACTACCTCCCTTTTTAACATAATCTGGTGTTGTGATAAGTTTTAGATTTTAATAAAATAATTGAAAATCATCACTACACATTTTAATT